ACAGGACATAAATGGGCTTTTGCCGAGCGAATTTCTTTTCAAGCTTCTTTCCTATAATGCTACTCAAACGATGCTTTCTAATTAAAATTATCTTGTCTTTTAAGTGAGCTACCCCTAAGCCAGCGAGGAAGCGGCCGTTGCCTGCTTGAAAGGGCGATGAGTCGTCCAAGTCTCGCAAGGTTTCGGCGCCCAAAACGCCGGCGGCCAAGGCAAGGTCGCGGGTTGCGTCGGTGCAACCTAAAGAAGAGCAACCCCAGCTGGTACTTAGTGGGGACTCTAAGCCCTCGGAGCCACCATCGTCCGAGGTGGCCCAAAACGAGCCCGTCCAAAAGGAAGACGGGGAAGCGCCTTCCCTTGAGAACGCGGCCGGCCAAGACTCAACTCCGCATGTTGAGTATTTGGGAACTAAGCCTTTAGGTTCCCAAGCTGAGGGAGAGCTGCCATCTCGGCCGAAGACGGGCGAGCAGCTTCGCCAACACCTCCTCCTGACAGGCGTCCGCAACCCCTCCATTTCTCAGAAGGTATTTGTTCACTTTGTCTTTTTCCCTTCCGACTTTTTCCTTTTCAAAATTCTAACTTATTTTTGTTTTGTAGAAACTTTTGAGGATATGGCCGTTCGACTCCCTGGGTCCTCTCTGACTGGGGTCAAACGAAAGGTCATCTGGGATGATATTCAAAAGGTCGTCCCGGCCGAGACGTAGGGCAAGTTTCGAGGAATCCATAATGGGCACCTCGGTCCAATGATCAACATATGCGTTGAGGTATAACTTTATTCCTTTGGCAAATACTTAGCCAATTTTCTCCTATACTCATTTTATAATCATATTTTCCATTTATCCGCGGCTTCTCTTTAGGCTCTTTGCCTTCCAAGACTGGCATCCTCGGCTGCGCTGCAAGATTCAGGCAGAGTGGGATGACCTCAGGCGGCTTCAAGACTAAACAATGGCCTACTGCCCTGGAGAAACGTAATCATGAGACGCCTATAAACGCCTTGTCTGAGAAGGAAGCCCGGCAAACTGAGGACATTGTCAAGATTGGTGATGCTCTCAAACTAGAGAGGCTGGCCAACGAGTATCTTACTAAGGAAAGGGACGAGGCGGTCAGCTTGGCAGCCAGCAGGCGGCCGAAGCCTCTAAGAAGCTGAGGTCTGAGCTGGAGACCAACAGGAAGGCCTTGAACACAGCTCTTCAGGCTGCGGACGAGAGCAACCAAGAGGCCGAGCGGCTGAGAAAGGAGATAGAGGAGCTGAAAAGTCAACTAAGTGCACGTGCTTTAAGGCCAATTCTTCCAGCCGACGTCGTCCGCATCGAACAATTGGCCCTTACTCGCCTCGAGAATCGCTTTGAGGATGCCTTTGCCATGATGGTGGAACCATACGAGCACGCTTATTACCATGAGCGGTTCACCAGAAGGCTAGACTTCCTCACCATGAAGGAAGAGTGCGAGGCCGTAGGCCTGCCCTTCTCTCCCTTTGCCGAAACTCCTTCCTACAGCAAAGGCGAAGCTGAGGGAGATGAGGAAGAGATGGCCGAGGATGAGGCCGTCCAAGCTGATAATGCGGCCAATGCCGAGGTAGCCAATGCTGATGGTGGTGGCGATGATGCGGCCGAGTGAGGAGCCCTCTTCTGCAGCTTGTTTAAGCTTTTATGTCTTAAACTTTTTTCTTCTACTTATGTTAAAAAATTTCTACTTTTTTTTAATGTCGCCTGTTTTGAGCGGTCTTTATAAAAATATTTTTCCGCCTTTTGAGCGATTTTTTAATTATGCTTACTTTGCCGCCTTCTGAGCGGTTTTCTGCATTTTTGTACTTAGCAATTTTATTCATTTTTTTCTTTTTATATATATGCTTAATGCTTTTGCGTACGAATACTGGGGGTATGCCCCTTTATTCGGCGGTTTGCCTAGTCCAAATTCTGAGTGATACCTTGAAGGGTATGACTTTTAGTAAGTTAATCAAATCATATATAATGATTTCCCTTGGACTAGGTGAACGCCGAATTAACTTTAGGTATATGGCCGTTGTGTTGGCTTTGATTGAGTCTTCTGTTGAAGCTATCGATCGGACGGACCCAAGAAATTCCAAGTATTATCTCAACTTGTAAATTCCTATTTATTGGGCAAGTTCGCCTAGGAAGCCTTTGCCCTGGACGGGCAACTCGTGCTTTAAACAAACTTTTAACTTCCCTTTTGGTCTTGTGTTCGACCTGGAGGGGAAGAACAGTAAGGCTGGCCCTTAGGCTAATTGGCCGAGTGGCTGATTGATAAAGTGGCTGAACAAAGTATGCCCTTGCTACACCCTGTAGTCGGAAAAAACCTACCCTTTGAGATCTGAACAGTTCTAGAGCAATTCCACTCTTCGGGTTCGGGTGCACGAATTACGGGGAAAGTTGCATTAAACTTGGGGGGGCGTGCGTCATTAGGAAACCTGTACCGGTGGTGGCGTATTTCGTTTCTAAGGCAGTGGATTATTGTTCCACGGCGCGACTGTGAGTTTGAGATGTTCAATCAAGTATTTTCCCTTTCATCTTCTCTATTTTTGTTATTGGAATCGACAGGTATTTTATCAAAAATAACGATTACTTTGTACTTTATATATAAAATAAAAATTTTAAATTATATACTAAGCTTGTATATTGCTTCCTCGATAAAAAGAGAAAAATAAAGAATGATACTTTAAAATATATATGCATGACTTTGAAAATCAATTAAGTCCTTTATTGTTCAATATCTTTGTTTAAATTATAGACTTAGATTTTCATGGTCTATCGATTACTAAATATTGTTATTTACCTAAACCATTTAAAAAAAATTACGTAATAGAGGGAAATTGCAGAATATTGGGTATATTAAATCGAGTCATAGGTTTTTTGCTCCTATGCATTCCCTTGTATAATAGATATACAAATAAATTAAATACTACCTCCGGTTTTAATTACTCGCAACAAAGGAGTATTATTTGTGAGACATAAATATTCCATTGTTGCGAGTAATAAAAAGGGGAGGTATTAGTTTATTAGATTCGAATTATGAATGTGGGTGGGATATGAAGTGGAAAATAGGATTATTATTTATTATTGTCATATATATATAAATATATATATATATATATATATATATATATATTTTGGTGTTCTACCCGGTTCACCCACTACTAAAATTCGGTCAAATTGCGACCGTTTTTTTTATGACCGTCATCAAAACGGTCGCAAAATATGAAATATGCGATCGTCTGAGACGTAGTCGCAATTTGGTAACCGTTTTTTTATAGCGGTCGTAAATTTGCGACCATTTTTTGGCTTTTTAACTATCGCAAGTTAATTTGAACATTTTTTAAAAAAAATTAAATTAAAAAATCCCTTTGCGACCGCCAAAAACGGTCGTAATTTGCGGTCGTTTCTTAAACGGTCGCAAATTTGTGACCGTCTTAACCGGTCGCAAAGGGTTTTATTTTAAAAAAAACGTGTATAAAAAAGCAATTCACCCTAACCCTAATGTTGACTTTACCCCCTTACGCCGCTCTCATCCTTCTCTCTTTTCTCTTTCCTTCTCTTTATTATTTCTCATCTTTCTTCTCTCTCGTCCCTTCTCCTTCCTTTCTCTTTCCTCATCCTCCATCTATTTCCTAAGAATTGAAGAATCAAAAGTTGAAAAATCCGCTTCTCGTGAAGTATTTTTCCTCTACGCTTCTCATTCAAGCTTTGGCTCAAATAGGAAGCTTCGCTTGTGGTGTTGATGCCAACACTTGCTCTCTCCTCCGTGTGCTCGTCATGACTGCACACTCGAGCCACCGTCACGACCTCCACCATCACAAGAAAAAACCTAAAACAAGTCAAGGTTTTCTAGATTTGATATTTAAATTAGGTAGATTGTAGATTGTTTTGGGTTAGAGGTGTTTGGTGGGTAAAGGTGGTTTCGGGTGATAGGCGGTTGGTGGTTATGGGTTGAGGGTTTTTCGGGTGAGAGACGGTTGGTGGTTGCGTGTTGAGGTTGTTTCGAGTGAGAGCCGGCGGGTTGAGGTGAAGTGGCGATGGTGGCTGTTTGGGTGGGCGACCATGGTGGGTCAGTGTTGTTTAGGGTGGTGGTGGTGGTTTGGGTGGGAAGTGATGGTGGTGGGTAGTAGCGTTGGGTATAGTTGGTTTGGGTGGTGGGATCGTTGGGTGCGGGGTACAGGATGTTGGTGGGTTTTTTCTTTTTTCTTCTTTGTTTTTTTTAAAACATTTTAGCGACTGCCTTTGACCGTCGCTAATTCTCAAATTTGCGACTGCTTATAAAAATGGTCTTAAAATTTAATTTTTGCGACCGTTTACCTAACGGTCGTTGAAAATATTAAAAACGGTTGCAAAAAATCTGCGACGTCAAACGGTCGTTATTATTGTTTTCTGCGACCATGTAAATAACGACCACCATGTTATGACCGTTGACGGTCGCAATTATTTTCAACGACAGTTTTTGCTATTTTCAACGACCGTCAGAGGCGGTCTCAATTTGGCCGAATTTTAGTAGTGGCCTTTTGGGTTAATCTGGATTCGGGGATCAAAGCTGAGTGGTGAGGTTCCAGTCCCCTGCCAATGTTGCAGCAGATCGAACACGAGTTCTCCCTAACAACTGTAGTCCCAATCACCATTACACCAACAGGCAATTGGTATATTTTCATATATTAGAATATTATTATCAGACATATTAGATTCACGGTGAATCTAGTCTCATGCAAAACTTTCTTTAATATTATTGTGTAAATTTGCTTTCTAAGTTAGTAAATGAATTGTCAATAGTTAATTAAATTTTTTTTTTCTCATTTTGTTAAGGTCTATCAATCTTGATATTTCATTAATGGCAAATCCATTTTATATATTTAAAAAAAAAAAAAAAATAGAGGGCTATTTTAAGCGTTCCGCAAGTTGGACACGTAGTTTTTAGTCTTCCCTACCACTTCTTCAAATCACTTAAATAATAGTAGATACAAGTAGATCACATGCATGCATGTATTCATATTCCTCAACTGTAAAAGAAGATCACAACTATTCACAGATGGCTTTAACCATTATTTTGTTAAGCTTTGCTTTAACGCTCTTCTTCATACTTGTTTTCCGTAACATAAACTCCCGTCCAAGCTCAAGGCTTCCACCGGGTAATACCGGATGGCCGATACTCGGAGAAACCTTGAGTTACATCCCAAATCCGGCTAAATTTATGAGAGATCGAATGAAAATGCACTCCCATGACATCTTCCAAACGTCGTTGGCGGGGGAGAAAATGGCCATTTTTTGTGGTGCATTGGGCAACAAGTTCATTTATTCAAATGAATCAAAATTCAAGATGTGGTTACCACGTACAGTTATAGATATCCTAGCTTTGACGAACATTGATACTAGCTCCCCACCATGGAAGCTATTCGACGAACACCTACATAAGTTCCTTAGGCTCGAGTCGATGCAAAATTACGTGCCAATTATGGATACTAAGGTACGCGAGCATTTAGAGATTCATTGGATGCCTTTTAACCAAGTAAAAGTTCTACCACTATCGAAAGAGTTTACTATATCCTTTTTTTGCCATTTGATTTTGAACATCTATGATAGTGATCAAGTTAAAGAATTGGCTACGCCCTACTATGACTTGGTCAAGGGACTAATGTCAGTGCCTATAAATCTTCCGGGGACCACATACAACCGTGCTATAAACGCATCGAAATTTATAAGAGAAAAATTACTAGAATTAGTTAGTGAAAGAAAAAAGGTGGTCTTAGCAAAGAAAGATCATGTAAATGTTGATTTTTTGGGAGGTTTGCTTAGGGCATCAATTGAAGGCAGTGACATTATAAGTGAAATGGAGTTAGTTGGCAAGATTATAGCACTCTTGTTTGCTGCTTTCCATACTACAAGCAACACCATTACATTCTTAATGGCTCATCTTGCTGAATATCCTGACGTTTACGAAAAAGTTTTACAAGGTACGTGCTACTTTTATGAATTGTGCTTATAGAAAGTTATTGACGAACAAGGCCTACAACCATATAACACTATAAAACTGCTAGAATATTATAATTTAACAAATATTGAGCAATGATTATATTTACATTTGTCAAAAATGTTTTATGAGGTTAATTATCGATTTATACCATTTGATTTGATATAGGCATATAGCTAGTCACCTGTCACTTATTGAAATAAAGAATAGTTGCTTCGTTTTTTAATAGTTGCAACACACATTTTTCACGATATTTAAGAAATGTGGGGTTCACATGGTATAATACACTCTAAAATAGGATGAATGGTTGTTGAGAATATAAATTAGTGGGCCATGTACTTTAAATAATGGAAATAATATAGTTTTTTTTCCTAAAATAACTTTCCATTTACTTATAGTGTGTTGTAAGTATTATGACATTTCTACTTTAGGAAAGTGTTGTAAGTATTAAAAAACGAAGGAAGTATTAGTTATCAAATTTGATGTACTCCGTAAACTTGAATAATAACTTTAAAAGTCTAACATAGCATATTTATTATTTTCAAATTTAGTTGTACTCACACACATTTGATATGTGTTAGAACAATTGGAGATTGCACAATCAAAAGAAAAAGGGGAGCTACTAAATTGGAAGGACATTCAGAAAATGAAGTACTCGTGGAATGTGGTTTGTGAATCGATGAGACTTAAGCCACCCGGCCTCGGAGGTTTTAGGGAGGCTTCCACGGACATCCATTACGGTGGCTACACAGTTCCAAAGGGTTGGAAGGTATGTATGAAAATCAAATATTGTTCTTTATATATCGTGCTACTACACAAATTGTTACCATTTTCTAATGAGAAATTACACTATATATGTACAAGTGTACAACTCTAAACATATCTAATCTATTAAGAATGCCTACTAGTGGACCAAAAAATGCCCATGGTAAAAAATTGAGGTTTAAAAAAATGCTCATACACTACATCAATGACAAAATGAGGAAGTACTAAGGGAGGTTAGTTATGCATTTGCAAATGCAAAACAACTACTAAAATATTAAAAAGCACATGGGGTGAAAGAAAGGAGGAGAGAGATGGGTAAGTGGGGCCACTTTTTAAATGTACCGTTAAAAGCTTAGATAACATCATTGACTGTGTATTGATACTATTTCTATACGTAGTGAGTACTATTAAATGAATATATAGTACCACTACATACATAAATAGTATCACTGAAATGTTCAATGATACCATTTAATCATCTAGTGATACAATTGATCACCCAGTGGTACTAATCTAAATTCAGAAATGTATTTACGTGAAATGACCTTCATGCCCATCGTTATGCATTTACTCATACATAACTAACCTCCTTTTGGAAGGCCTCGCCAGAGAATTGTAAAATACCCATGGGTATTTTTATATTTCTTCTCAAACTTTGGGAAAATAAAGTTCTGACCAATACAATTTTTTTTTTTTATAAAAAACTTGGGTCCCACAAAAACTGTATGCTTTTAATTTTTTTTGCTGAGCACCACGCAAAATGAAGAGTTTAAAGGAAGTCATAGCTGAGCCAATCCTCAAAATGCATGCAACGTTTGTAAAGTGACGGCTCAAACAAAAAAAAATAAAAAAATAAAAAAAATAAAAAAATTACTAAGTATTTGTAATTGCAGCTCTTCCTCTGGATTTCTTACGTCACCATTGTCATTGTTGTTATTAATGTATTATCTGTTGACCTTATTTTTAGTTATTTTAGGTGTAATAATTTCAGCTTTAATAAGTTTTGATAAGGGTTATCCAAGTATAAATTATAATAAAAAATAAGTTTTAATAAGTTCAGGTAAGTTCAGATAAGTTTATATAATGTTTTTTTTTTTTTTTTTTTTTTGTGCAAGTTTTATTATTGGTGTTGTTCAGGAAAAATTTAGGAAAAATTGTCTGGAATAATCTTACCTTTGGGTGTCCGCCAAAAAATAATCCCAACTTCGAATTATTTTTAAATAATCCGACCTTTATACCCAATTCGCTTAAATTGATCCAAACCGGTCATGTAAGTTGATATAACAAGTTATCAGACACGTGGCGGATTGTGATTGGTAAGAAAAATAAAAACAAATTACAATAAATAATAAGATTGTCAAATAATAAATAAACCAAAAAAAAAACTAAAAAAGAAAATTGAAAAATAAAAAATTTAACCACCTCCCACATTAGCCATTGCCAGCCCCCTCTCTCTATCAACGGTCGACCGGCTGTCGACCGTCGATAAATTCCCTCCCCCGTAACCGGTGACCATATCCCCTCCTTTTTCCCAATCCCCGTAACTAAACCCAAACCCGAAAACCACCTAATTAAATGAGGGGAGGGGGAAGTTTTCGATAGGGGAAAGGGGAATATGGGTTTGTATCGAACTATCAAGGTGGGGTCGGGGAAGCCAAAATGGGTAAAAGGGAGGGTTGGGTGACGATTCAGGTGGGGGTGGGGGAAATGGGTGGTGTCGGGGAAGCGTCAGAGGAAACCAATTGAAATGGAGGTGATCGTCGGCGTCAGGGATGAAGGTGATTGCCGGCGTCGGCCGCTGGCAAGGGATGTGGGGAATAGGGTGGCTGGGCTTTTTTTTTTAATAATTTGTTTATTTAATATAATTATAGTTAAATACTAAATTTTTAATTTTTGGACAAATCAAGTTGTGACATGTGTACATTAAACTTAATAAATAAAAATAACCTCTTCAACCGGTTACTGGTCACTCGGGACTATATTGAGCGGATTAGAAATAAAGATCGGATTATTTCTTAGTTTTCAGACATACTTTTTCCGTTTTAAATTAGACTTAGACTTTTGACATTATTTATAAACTTTGCTTTAACTATTATATGTGATTTATAGATTAAAATAAAAAAAAAAGGTAGTCTTGAAATCCTGTTAGATCTATTTGAATGTATACTTATTAATTTAAATTCAATTTTAAGTATTATTTTTTTTTACAATAGTATGATTAAGATGTTTTTAATTTATTTGAATTTTTTGCACTGACAAACGTAATAAAAGAAACACATCATCTAATTTAGAATGGAGAAAGTAAAATATATCATTGATTTATACTTTTTCTTATGAGTTGGCTTGTAGGAACAGAAGAAAAGACCGACAAATTATGATAATGTTTTTGTTAAATACACAGTACATAAAATTATAATTAGTCATTCTTATGATTTTATCTTGTATGAAATCTAGGTTCATTGGTCAGTTTATTCAACACACATGGATCCGGTACATTTTCCAGAACCAGAGAAATTCGACCCATCACGATTCGGAGAGAAACAAGGCCGTGGTATATATGTACCTTTTGGATCAGGACCTCATATGTGTTGTGGAAGAGAGTATGCTCGAATTAAGGTTCTCATTTTCCTACATAACATAGTAACTCGATTTAGACTTTCAAAAGCCAACCCAAATGAAAGGGTAATCTATACTCCAGATCCAGTCTTTGTTAATGGCCTACGTATCAACCTTCATTCTCAAAAGGAATAAGAAAAGGATGATATGTAGTTAAAAATGTTTTTCATTTGATTGTTGTAATAGTTTTCTCAATTAACATACTCTTTCCTATGATTCTCATAAGAAAAATGGTATTATTAATCTCAACTTTATAAAAGTTAAACCGTGTTTTTATAAGCGGCCATATAGTGTTGTCAGCCACACAAAAAATGCACTGTTATTCCAAATGGTTAAACTTTAAATGCTCATTGTATGAGCTGAGTTTTTTTTAAAGGTTTGTTAGGGTATATTATTTTCTAATACTTCTTCCGTATTTTTAAGTGTCGCACTTTTCAAAAGCGGCTTTTTTTTTAAAAAGTAAACCTCACTCATAAGCTATACCCCACTTATATATTACTTTATTTGGTTAAAAAAAAACCTTATATGTATATATACAGGAGGGATCCAGTGAGAATAAGTCGATATGTGAGAATTCATACTTATATGAGAACTGATTTATAATTTAGAACACCTGAGTACAAATTTAGAACATGCAACTCAAATTTAAATTTAGAACATATGAGTAATAATTTAGAACATCTGTATGAGTAATAATTTAGAACATCTGATTTAAGAATTAGAACATGTGAGTAAAAATTTAAAAGAATCTGCTTTATGAAATTTAGAACATCTGATTTATGAATTAGAACATGTGAGTAAAATTTTTAAAAAAATCTGCTTTATGAAATTTAGAACATCTGATTTAATATTTAGAACATGTGAATAAGAATTTAGAACACCTGGTATTAAATATAGAAAATGAGAGTAAAGATGTAGAACATATGAGTAAAAATTTAGAACATGAGAGTAAAAATTGGAACATATGCTTTCAAATGTAGAACATATAACTATAAATCTTAGAACACGCGCACGTTTTAAAATTTAGAACATATAAATTAATATTTAGAAATAAGTCATTCAGAATTTATAACATTTAACTTAACTAATTTATGGTTTAGAACATGTGAGTACTAATTTAGAACATCTGATTTAATTTATTATACTTGGGAAAAAGTTTAGAACATTATATTTAAAATTTAGAACACACAAGTAAAAATTTAGAACATATGAGTAAAAATTTAGAACATAAAAAGTGTTCTCACATAAGTAGAATTCTCACAACTTAAAAAGAGGGAGTATGTGTAACTATAGTATCTCATATATTGCCATTAATGGACCATTGTCCACTTTTTCCCCTCCATGTATGGCAAATCATACATATTCTATGAAATTTTGCACCCATTCCATGTATGGCAAACCAATTATTGCTAATAGATGATGATAATGAATCATCGCCTAATGGAATTATTAACAATTAATAATATTAACAATAGCCGCTAACAAATAAATCAGCTAACAAACCACACCAAATAATAAATCAATGATAGGACAAAACAGAGCAGAGCAGATTTCAGTAGCGCAGAACAGGGCTGCACTTCCACACATTACGGAACAAAGTAGAGAAAATTTTAACAGGGTAGAACAGAGCAAGACAAAGCTAGCAGAGCAAGCAGCTCTAGAGAATGGGGCTCAAACATCTCCTATCAATTAATGCAAATAATTTAATCAGCTAACAATAGCTGCTCCATATGTAAGTGAGGATCTGGAGACAAAAAGGGGATGAGGGATGGAAACTCGGTAGTGTGACTTGAGACACAACTTTAAATAAAAAGTAAAATTACAAATGAATAATGTCAAAATCATGAAATAAAGTAACTTCTTTAAAAAGACATTTAAAAAATAATATTTTGTGAGCAGTGAAGAGTCATAAAAAACTAAGTGCAAAGTGATGTTAGGGTCTTTTTGGAATTTTGAAGTAAACTCTTTCTCTCTAACTTACTAACGGGTTTGGCAATATTTCATATATAACATGATATCAGACAGTGGCGGATCCAGGATTTCGGGTCAGGGGTAGCATATGATTAAAAAAAAATTAGTCGAAAAAACTATGTTAGTTTTTTATCTAATGCGTTTTGACTTTTTTTTATCATTCACATGCATCACTTTAACTAATATTGGTGTTTTACATGTACGATTAAATTATAAAATGTGGGCTTTATGTAGAGATTTGCGGGCGATGAATAACAAGTCCCATAAATATGGGTATTCAGCTTGTTATAATTGTCTCATCAACGTATAGTTTTATTTTCTTCTATCAACGTTTACATTATTGACATTATTAGTTTAGTAAAAATTTTATGTTTGCATATGTGTCAATCATACCGAGTAGGAGTAATTATTAACCATTAAATTTTAAATAATTATTGTTCTTACAAATAATTTATATTTTTTGTATCAAAATACTACAATCAAATCCCGTCAAAAAAAAAATTACAATCAAATTTTGTGTTGTATATAAGAAAATTGATTATCACATAGGATTATATAGTGCATTTAAATGTTGAATAAATTTTATTTACTAATATAAAACTAAAATTTTTTTATAGTTGGGCATTAGAAAACATGTTATTTCATAAATTAACGGGAAGATTCTCAATTAATAGAGGAAGTATTCCAAATAATAAAGTTTGTCAATAACGGGAGTACTTTAAAATTAAAGCTAGTTCAAGTGTGTAAAACTGTAAATTAGAGCTAGAAAAGTCTACAGTAAGCATTCTTAAAGTTAAAGCCCCAAAAAATAGAATAGAGAAAAAAAACCAAAAACAAAAAACAAAACAAAAAATTAGTTGAGATAGGGAATCAAACCCTGACCCTTTAAACAATTTGCCACCTCTTCACCAGTGGCGGATCCAGGATTTGATTAATAGGTTGTCCCATCATCGTCCATCGACCACATATAATATCAAAAAATAGTCAAAGCTTGTATCATCGTCCATCGACCTTGTACTATACAAAACCTGAACTCTAAACTAAATCCCTGAAAGATCTCAACCTAAGTGTTCAACAATCAACACAAACTTGAATACACCTTTTTCGGGGTCTATGTCAATGCAAATCTACTTCCCTTGTACGGTATACATGGTCTCATGACAATTAGTCAATGTTTGTTCAAATAAATCTCGTGCTTTAAAACTCCAAGTTACCAGCATATATTCTACCTCAAAGCTCAGAAAGTCAGAAGCATTCATATCTATAAACATCATTTTCTATGGATGGCAAGCATTACCATTTGAACTAAAGTAATTTAAATGAACTCTATAAGACACTCCCATACAGTCACAGGAGAATTGTGCATAAGTCATTGAACAATGCTACCAAGACAAAGTTCACCCCTATTGGCCCTATTCAATCATCAACAATCACCAATCCTTGATCAACTACCCATTAAGCTATAAAAATAACCCCTTTACACACATCTTATGCTAGGACTGGTCATAATTTAATTAGGAAGCTCAATTCAGCAAGCTATAGTTCATGTCAACTTACAATCAAAAACTCAGAAAAATAATCCAATCTAAGTAATAAAGGATGCTCTAGAAATGAGTCAATGCTAGTGAGTTTCTCAAAATTAGGAACTCAGCGGGCACTACATTGTCAATGCTCTATTTCTTAATATCTTCAAATTTCTGGAGCGTTCATCTTAAATTAAACCAGAAAATAAACATTAAGATATTTTGTCTCAGGTAATCGTACAGGGCTAAAGTAAACATTGCCCTCCTACATATCCAATCAGAGACTAGAAACTTCTTACCATAAATAAAGCTAGGTTCTGATCGAGCTTCTTCTACAATAAGACTCCAAGCAAAAGCACACCTGCAACTATCTCAATTAAGAGCTACTTAATATTCAGGTCTTAGTTGGGTATGTTTCTGGCCCCTGCTTCTACAAAGAGTAGGCACTGCACGAGCACGACGTGACAGTGGAGGAGGAGGATTTAGAGTAGGCACTTTTTTAGTAAAAAAACTTGAAATATCTTGAGTTATTTTTCTTTTCATTCTGAAATTGAAGTTAGGTTGAATTAGATAAATCATACAAGTAGGGTTCTCTCAAGGTTATTAAAACTAATAATATCATCAAAAAAACGCCCATTAACCTCAATTTCAGTCCACCCTTCAACCCCAAATCTCCAAATTAGCAATCACCATTCTCAATAGCTAATAAGCAAGTTTGACAACTATTATCATTTATCAATTAAACAGAAATAATTCTATAAGTCTATAATAGGGCTCAAATGGTCAAATATCCGGCCATAACTCACATTCACAAATCACAAATTCACAACATTCAAGCTCTAATCAAGTGACGATAATCAAGTCATAACATTCAAGCTTTTTATAAAGTCATACAAATAATCAAGCACTAATCAAATCAAGAAATTTCACCCAAAAAAAAAAAAAAAAAAAAAAAAAAACTCATACACTGTCACACTGATATAGTGATATTAAACATACTGATAATTTTGATTTAAACATTTAAATTGATGATTTCATATAGAAATATAGAATCTAATCTCTATAATCTTATTGCAATGTAATTATATAAATTAAAAGTTTAAAACTAACCTAAAAAAAAATCGAATTTGGGGAGCCACTGCACGAGCACGACGCTAACAAACTCACAGACGGATTGACGATTTGACGGACGCCTCACTCATACCTGGCGGAGAAGCACGAAAAGGCTGCCGGGCTGCCGGCGAGGCGGCGATACGGTGAACGGCGACGGGGCTTGGGTAATTGGGTGACTTTGAGACTTAGGGTTTCAATTTGGGGGAATTGGGGATTTGGGGATATTTTAAATCGTGAAATTGTGAAAGTGAGGTTGTAAAGCCCAAAAAAAAAAAAAAAAGTTTGAGAGTAATGGGAGTCGAACCCGTATCTCATATGTGGTAGGATGGGGAACAAACCACCAGACTACAAGCTAAAACTCTTGATACTTAGTTTTTTTTTTTTTTTATGGAAAATAATAGGTTGTCCGCGGACCCACTATGACTACACGTGGGTCCGCCACTGCTCTTCACACAAATCATACCACCAACTCACCAAGGCAGCGCTGATTATACTAAACAAAAGGGCCGAACAATAATATTTATACTATACTTTTATAGAGCTTAGTTTAACAATTTTTTTTTTAGGGGTAGCATGTGTTACCCCTTGTTCCTCTTTAGATCCGCCAGTGATATCAGAGCCAGCGTGACAAAATTAAGTTATAGGTTCAAATAAT